CTGGGAACAGGATGGTTATAAAACAGTCTTTGTCTTTCCCTATGTGTATGTCTCTTCCTTATGCGGTTGTCAATGACTATACAGAAATCGATGAGATCATCAAGTAAAGTGGGTAATTCCCTGGATGCTATCTCATCTAGGATGTAGTCAACCAAACCCTGCTGAAAGGCAGTCACTAGGGATTCATTGTTCCACACTACCTCTGATAAGGTCAAGCTAGGGTTTGGAATAATATAGCAAAATCAGCCACAGACCTTGATCCTTGTTTAATCCTCATCAAGGATTTCCTTGCCGAACGGACTCTGCCTGGCATGTCAAAGGTCCTCTTGAACCCTGGGAGGAACTCAGCAAAGGAGTACCCAATAGAGGAACTGGATTCCGAAAGAGGATTAGCCCATGCCAATGCTCTATCCGACAGGTGGTGGATCAGGAAAGCTATTTTAGATCTTTTGTTGGGATAAGAATGTGGGTTCATAACCAAATGGATGTCTATTTGGTTAAGAAACCCACGGCACACGGAATCCCCACTGTAGTGTTGTGGGGGTGTCATGTGGACAGTATGGTACTCCAGAAACAGGTTCAGGAGCCGTAACTGTAGGAGTAGCAGCATTGTCCTGTGCGCCAGGCTGCAAATATGCAGTACACACCAAGATAGTCTGCAAGACCTGGGCGAATTGATCCATGCGGTTATCAATTCCGTCCATTATTGAGCTACAAATGGCCAATTGCTGTGACACATCTGTAGGTTCCATTGAGCCTTGTTGTAATGTCAGGATATGCTGGAACCTGAATACACAGACAGAATCACGAAACAACAATCCGTATACCGGTCCTTAGAATGGCCGGGTTAACGAACACACAGTCAGTATAACAAGCCGAGGTCAAAAGGAGTAGAGAAGACAGGAATACCGTATAAAAAAGCCGAGGTCAAAGGAGTACAGAAGACAAGATAAACGTAAGACAAAAGCCAGAAAATATCACCAGTTTATCACAAGAGGAATGCTCTATTGGCTACCAAAAACCACAACATGGCAACAAGGAATGGGAGAGGTAAGTATAAATAGGCATCGCTTACTTCTGATTGGTCCAATTCCACTTGACCTTCCTAATCTGACCTTTGACGTAATTTATATGCGCCGAATTCGGTCTACCGAATTACACGTTTAGTTTGGTTAACGCCGAATTTAGTAGTTTGTTTGGGCGCATACATATACACACTACACTACAGAATGCTGGAGGGGATTACGGCAGCCGGAGATGAGCGGGAAGGTAATCAAGCCTGAAAATGTTGTGCTAAGCCCACCACTACATCTCAGTACCCAAACATATGTAGATTCTACACAAATTTTAACATTGGAGATAAATACTACTGCATTACATACTGCTTAAACTGCTTCCAGAGACTCTTCTCAATTTATCCATTCCCGTGATCACCTCCAAAAGGCCACCTATAGTGGAGCCATGGGGTGCTCAACCCAATAGCAATCTGGTCTGGATTTCAAATATACACAGAAAAAAAGGCTATAGGGGGTACACTCAGAACATGCATTTCTCTGTATTGGTGCTGCTGTAAAGACCAAAATATATACAAAATATATATTAAGGAACAGTGCACACATAAAGGAATCCAGTTTTGAATTTTACAATGCTAAAATCACCTATCTGTAACAAATAAACTTTGTTAAGATCACGTGTATTCAGTGCTTAGAGTGTCTATTTAATATATTTGGGGGGGATTCCATATTTTCCAGATGTTTTCTCTTCTTCTACTTCTTATTTTCTTCCATGTGATATATATAATTTTGTCTGTAGGTGTCTTCCGTTGGTCTTGTGTAAGTGTCTTTCTGCTGCCAAACAGACAATATGGATATTTCTCAGAAGTACCTCAAAAGAGAAATTTGTTTCTCTTACAATTAATGGGAAACTGAGTCATACATTACTCTTATAAAAATGATAGCACAAGGTTTTCTTTAGATGAACACTATGTGAAATTTTTCTTTGTCTTTATCAAACAGTAAAACAATACCAAAAAAGTGAATTTCATGTGAGTTATTAACATCTAGTTTTTACAGTTCTACTGTATAGTTTCTACAATTATAAATTATACTTTAATCTCTTGTCCAAAACACCAAAGGTTTGTTTTAATCAACTATACGTCAAATAATGCATATATATTTATTCTGCAAATTATCTCAGTCGTCATCTGTTTCCCTATTAAATGTTAGCAATATATGAGTTTATTTAGTTTCCAACTTAAGAACCCTGGTGATTTAATGTAAGTACATAATGACAACATCTGCCACCCACATCCTGCGTTTCAAGGAAATACACTTTGAATACAGTTAATACACTAAATGCCATTTGGACCAAATCGTTAGTTATTTGTACAACTATTAATCTTGGGGAGTAAAATTAGTAATGCTAACGTATTTGTATAAAGAATCTAATACAATTAAATTGCTCCAAAGATATGTTATCACGTGATTGCATATGTAATGACAAACAATTCAATAAAGACAGATTAATAAATTCAATAAAATAATAGTAACCAAAATCATTAAAAAATATTTATTTTTTTAGGTGAACTTGGGGAAAATGTCACTTTAATGAACACTCTAAGCACCATAACCACTATAGCCATCTCAAGGACAAACCTGGAGCCATCCCACAAGTAGTCAAACTGTTTTAATATTTAAAAGGTATTTTGCAGGGCCACCAAGCCACATTTGGATTTCTCCTGCAGGAGAAGCCATACACCACTGCAAAATAAAGCCTGGTTGATGCAGAGCCATGCTGATAGGATGAGAGTGCTCAGCCAATGAGCATCTCTCTTCTTAGTTCTGTACAGATAACTGGGTTCTTCTGCTGCTAGACTGGATCAAGGTAAGTTGTCAAACCGTACTATCATGGTTTGTCTACTTACCATGCAATGGCGTACTCCTGGCACCATAACCACTATACCAGGCTGTAATGGTTTTAATCATTTGATTGTTATTTCAAATTAAGCATAATTACCATTCATGTATATACCTACTGAGGGGTCTCTTTGTTAGGTACACCTATTTACTTCCTAGTAGGACACACTGTTTACTTCAGAAGAACCTGAATTCTTTATGGCGTGGATTCAACCAAGTGGTGGATACATTAATCAGTAAGTTCTATCCATTTATGCTGAAAACCTCCCAAAACAAAATAAAAAGCAGAACTGATTTATGTTCTTAAAACCGGTGCTCTCACGTTTGAATTCTATACATAAGTATAGGATTTAGAAGATTCACAAAGCACAGGTTTTAATAAAATTCGGGACAGAATGCATCCATCGGGTTGCCCCTTTTAAAATTATCATTCAATTTCTTTCTGTGGTGGTATGCTCTCCAGAAAATTGGTTAATACCACCTAGGTTATCCCTTCCAAGTTGTGAATACCTCCAGAGTGATTAGTTTGACTTGTGCTGGCTCTGCCTGATCTGCCTCCTTGACAGTCTCCACCAATCCCATAGGAAAGCATTGTGATTGGCTCACAGAATTACATCTGATGATGTCAGCTGTAAGCAGGCAGATCAGGGTCAGAAGAAGCTGCAGACTTGAATACAAATAAGATTTGACTATATTTAGAGAGTTAATGGGGGGTTAGAGGGGCTAGATGGTGGTTTTAACAGTATAGGGTTAGAAATACATGTTTATGTTCCTGACTCTATAGTGTTCCTTTAAAGTACTATTTGACCAAACAAGTAAATAATACTTGGTGGCATGGTGGTTATGTGGTGGCTGGCCAGAGCTTGCTAACCAGCTTATAACTCCTGCCCTGCCTCCAACTATGGGCATTGGGTGGGGTACATAAAAAAAAATACAGGGGTGGACAGATCACTGTAAACCCCCCTTTCACCACCCGTGATCCCATCGGATTTTTATTTATGGTTATTATATTTTTTTTTAAACTTTTTTATGTGGTGGCTGGCTAGCAAGAACTGGAGATGGTTATTTAACTATTTACCCACTGGCTGCTAGATTTCAGACATCTGGCAGTGTTCGGTCCACTGAAATCCAGACCAAGTTCAGGCCTGTCTTAATTACTAAATCTGGACATAGTTAAAAAGAATGAAGAATGTATGGATTTTGCAGTCCGAATGGTTCCATCCACAGCCGACTAGACCAGACACAAACTTTCAGCAAAATTGGTATTGCTAGCAAAGAAGAAATTATAACAGCTGGCTGACTGATAGCTGAGGCAAGTGGAACTGCACACAGAAAAAAAAATAATTTCAAAAGTAAAAATTTTTAAAAAGAAAGGCTGCACGTCTTTCTACCATAACCAGTTAGTAAGATGAAGTGGTTATGGTGCTTTTAGTGACCCTTTAATGTTAGAACTACCCTTTACCCCAGCACAAATATTAGCCATAACCGTAAAAATTATGTGACAAACGGCGAAGCGTCTATTAAAGAAAGAAAAATGTATTTTTTTCCTTAAAGCGCATCTTTTTATTTTATTGTGCATTGTGGTTGGTGTGAGCAATCTTTATGCAGCGTGTGTTAAGGCTGAATGAATTGATGAATATGTGTGTATCAAAACTCTGCTGGGAGAGTAGCTTAAAAACCAACCAATATATCTTGATTCATAGCATGCTCTTTACATAATTTAGAAATGCAATTTGTATTATTAGCATTATTTGTTCTGCTCGTATGCCATAAACCTAAATAAATGACTATAATCAGCCACAATCTAAAAATATGATAATATTCCCATTTCATTCAGTGCGTGCGCATTGACATACTGCCCATAGAATTGCAGCGCAGAGACTGTAGGTTGTAGCTGTTATCCCTGTACTCACTGTCCACCCATGCCCTCATTCACAGGTAATTACCCCTGTTGTTATCTTTCTTTCCCATTCATGCGGTCTCAAAAATATCTTTAATTGAATTTCTGTAATTTGTGCTCTCCTTTAATGCAGTGACTTGCGGAGTGGAAATGATCCAGAATGTGACGTCTGAGTCCTTTGCATTGCCCCCCTGGGAGGGAGTGAAGTTCTATTTTCCCTGGTGCTGGCCATAAATACAGGAGCCCCTGGCTAGCTCGCATAACACCCTTTGGAGATCTGTCAGTCATACAATGCAGTGAGAGCCTTGCTCTTTCTTTCTTGGACCATCCTTAGTTCATTCACTTCCCCTGCATGCCATCTGGGAACACCTGTTGTATTCTAGAGAAAGAGAAACAACAGAAGAAAGAAAACTCTACAAAACAAATCAAGGTAGTCAATTCACTCATCCTGCACTTTTTCCCCTCCCTCCCTCTTTTTCTTTCTGATTCGTTCTTTGTTTTTTTTTATAATGTTTTCATTTATTTTGTCTCTATACAGTGTTATGCTTGTCTCCTATTTTATTAAATAATACTCATTCTTTTTTTTTTTTTTTCCAAGACTATCTTTAATATTTTTTCAGCAGCATTTGCTTAGAAGTATCACTAAATGCAGGTAATATAAAAAGGGTGTTTGTAACAATTTTAGGCAGCATATTACATGTGCACGGAAGGTGTACATGTGATTCAAAAATACTTTTTTGTCTTTGAAATGGATTTTCTATTCTGCTCCTAGTCACGCTTCAAGCAGTAGGAATGATGTCAGCCTTTCCTGTTCACAGATAACATATGCAGGGTTATTCATTATACCATTTGGCTATTTTGATCTCCAATTTTAAATTCACTTTGAATAAACCTGATAATGTTTTTGTTGAAACTTAGGGTCAAAAATGTAGGAGAACCTCAGTTAAACAGAGTTTAAAATTAATACATTCTGCTATCTTTTGGGTAAAAAATGCTTAGTGCACCCAATATTTAACATCTTTGTGCTAATCCCTCGAGTTTGACTTATATCTAACCATATATAACGCCTGACTTATATCCCTATTCATATCAATAGGGAACTTAACTTTGGGGAAAGTTGCCACATTCACGTTAACCCCCAAATTGAGGTTCTTGACTAATCTGAGAATGCACATTTTACGAGGCTCATTGCTGCTGGGTAATCCAGCTGAATTTAAAACGTAAACTACCACAAATTGGTCTCAATAATTATTTTGTGACGATTCTCAGATTTGTACCAAAAATTATTATAATGCTACTGACCAAACACTAGATTGTAATGTAGCAAAATTCAAATTGCAAATTTTGACCAACACACTGAGATGGAAAAAACATTTAGCTATTTAGCTACAGTCACAGTTTGGCTATTTGAGCCTAAACTAACCGAGAGTTAAAAACAAAGTTTATTTACTAAACATGGGATTTTGGGGAGAACAGGAATGCTGTGGATGTATCCAAATTGTTCTTAATTATAGAACAAATGTGACCAATGCCTCTGCTTACAAGAAATTCATTATAATTGTTTTATTTTTATTTTAATATTTAATGAATTTGTTTCTTTAATAACCTATTACCGCTTGTTGCTTCAACTTATTGCCATAACAAAAATATGAAGGTTTTAGCTGCAGTTTTTGACACAGACTTCATAAAGCAGTGATAGCATACCATGGTTCATGTTTTAGATTATTTTGTACAAAATAACTTTAGATTTCTGTCTAATCTGTGTTTAAATCACCATAAATGTTTGAAAAATATTTTATTACTGTATAAATATAAAGCAAATTAACTTTGGTTCACTAGTTATTTTAGCAGACGACGAGTTTAGGCAAGAATTTTGCAAGATGCAAAGTATAAATATATTTGGACAGTTATAGATTAAAGGCCATGAGGTTTCAATATATTGAGTCACCTGCATTTTCAGTCATTATTATTATTATTGGTATTTATATAGTGCCAACAATATTATAAAATGAGAAAATTGAACAATAATATTTTACAATATTATAACATGGGGAAATTTAACAATAAATGAGGTAATTACAACATGTTACAGGAGCAATAGATTGGAGGACCCTGCTCAAATGAGCTTACAGTCAAGAGGTGGGGTATACAAATACAACAGAACATCAAAGGAACAGCAAGCAACCAAGGTAGGAAAGTAGCAGAACTGGAGGTGAAAGTGGAGTGTGACCCTTTAGAAGAGAGCAAGAGACAGATTTGTGACATAGAAGTTACTCTGGGATGCCAAATGCTTTTCTGAAGAGATGAGTTTTGAGGGACTTCTGAAATGATTGAAGACAAGGTTAGAGTCTGATGGGGGTATGCAGGCTGTTCTACAGGAAGGGAGACAGCCGTAAGAAGTCCTGCAAGAGCCAAATAGCAGTATGGGTGCAAGCAGCGGACAGGAGAAGGTCAACGGTAGAGCAGAGAGACCGAGAAGAGGCATACCTTAAATCAGTGAAGAAATAGCTAAAGTTGTTTAGAGCTTTATAGGTAAGGGTTAGTATTTTGAATTGACTCCTATGGGATACAGGAAGCCAACTTAAGGATCAGCAGAGGGGTGAGGTGTGAGAGGAACTAAAAAGGAGAGAAAGAGCAGCCTGGCAGCAGCATTCCTCACAGACTGTAGCGAGGCAATACGGCTTCTGGGGAGGCCAATTAATAGGGAATTACAGTAATCAATGCAAAAAAATACTAGAGCATGCGCAAGCTCCTCGGCAGCATTTTGTGTAAGAAAGAGGCAGATGTAGGCAATGTTTTTGAGGTGGAATCAATAGGTTTTAGCAACACACTTGAGATGAGTCACAAAGGTGAGGCCAGAATCACACCAAGATAACACCAAGACGGCAAGCTTGCACAGATGGGCTGATGCAGGTCATCAACTTGCAGGGAGAAGAGGATCAGCATTACGAGGAGGAAAATTAACTAGCTCCATTTTAAAGAGATTGAATTTCAGAAAGCGGGAGGAGTAATAGGTGGTTATAGAATATTAAAGACTTTTTTTATGTATAGAGTTTTCTTATGTCAAGTATGTGTGTTTATCATATAAATAGCCTGTTCACTCTAGAACCTAAGCAAAAAAAAAATAAAAAGTTACCTAATCACTATCCCAAATCCCTTTGCACATTTAAATAACAGGAGGTTTTAAGTACAGCTTCAATGGCTATTAAAGTGAAAGCTCACGTGCCCATCAAGGCAAAATCTCTTAGGTGAGTCCTACATTAACAATTCACCTTGTTGCTTTCACTGAAAAGTAAGAATCTTCAATGAGACAGATAAGGGTATTTTTCATGTACCCTTACACACTTATTAACCCTTAGTAGGGTACACATGGGGTGGGCGGCATCACTGTAACATCGCTGTGCAATACAGGATCTAGGTGGATCTGGGTTCTAATGTAATTAAATGACGTGTTCACACTAACAAAATAATAATACTAATAATAGGGCATTTTAGGATGTTAGATTTAAGTTATAAACACACTGGGCTGAAAACTACTTCTATGATTCATTTTATTTCTATTTTCTCCAGTTATATAGTTAATTTATCTTAATTTATCTTGTTTTGTCTTATTTTTGGTTGCAGAAAAAAACGTGTTCATATTTATAAAATGTCAATATTTTCTAAAATGTAATACATGTTTATGTAACTGTGTTTTCAGATGCACAAGTGTACAAGTCTCGTGTTGGTGTCTGTAATCCTGTGTGCCACCATCTCACACACCTTTGGACATGTTTTAACAGTAAGTATTTACTATAAATATCAGTCTAGTGTTTAATTCCTTTCATGTGCCATGTTTTGCAAACTTTTTTTCAGTTCATAATTCCAAAAGGGGTAATAAAAATACTACCTAAAAATACAACCCAATAGAGGTCTGAAATAATTTGCAGATCAACAATACTCCACTCCATGACCAACCCAAGATCTTTCCAGGTTCTAGAACTTACAATTCTAATTCCAAATGAGATCATAAAAAAACTGCCTAAAAATACAACCCAGTAGACATCTGAAGTAATTTGTAGATCAACAATACTCCACTGAATGACCAACCCAAGGTCTGTCCGTGTTATAGAACCTACAATTCTAATTCCAAAGGAGGTCATACAAATACTGCCTTAAAATACAACCCAGTAGTGGTTGGAGCTACTTTACTCCATTGTGTGACCAAGCCATGGTCTTTCCAGGTTCTAAAACTTACAATTCAGTTCACCCTAAGCAGTCACCACATCCCAAGGCTATCTACATAAGGCTGTCATCTATTCTGATAAATCACATGTTCACTAAATGCAAATCAGTTGCACATGGCAGTAAAAATGTATATTGGGAAAATAAAAGTATCTTGGTTATTCAATGCAGAGCTCTCAAGTCACAAAGTTCCAGTGTCCTGACCTGAAGGATTTACAGCTAAAAAAAAATATCTACTAGCAGGATTCAGCTTCCTGCAGATCAATGGTAAAAAAGCCCTGTACCGGTCACCCTGATTTAGTTGGAATATGATGGGGTAGGGCATATGCAAATTTTTAGCAACAACTGTCCTCTCTTTCACACTTTATCAAGAAACAATAATTGCCAGTCTGTTAGAGTTAAAAGTACTATAATGTTCAGATCAAGATGGAGTTGGCTAATTTTGCCATGCTGACTTGACTTGTACTGGTGTGTTTTATCGCAATTGGCTATTATTAAATAGAGTCTTGTTCCATCTTTATCAAGCTGCTAGCCACACTAAAAACTGTTAATTGCCTAATAACGTTTCACTCATGTCAACATAACTTTTGACTTGTGGGATCTCTAGTAGTTTATACTTTATGGCTTTCCTTTAGCAGAGACTTTGATTTATCAAAGCAAAAATATTCCTGGGGCGAATAGCTGGTTAAGTAGCAATCGCCATGGAAACCAATAGATTATGTCGTAGCATTTGGCATTTTGAACCCAAAATAGCAACTGTCTTGCCTTGATGAATCTCCCTCCAAATATGATGTGAAAATGAAATGCGAAATCTATAAAAATGTTTAAATTATTAAATTGCTTAATTATACACAAAAATCCATTAAATAGCTGTTGAGTTTTATTATTTTTGTCAAAGAGCAAAAAATTTGAAAACTCATTCAGGATCGGGCATCGTGTTTATCTTGTTTGTTTCTTGTGAATTTTACATTCCGAAGAGTTTATTAGCGATCAGTATGTGAAAGCCAGCAAGGCTTCATAGAGATAAAGTGAATCACATTACACAATTATACGTAATGTTGTTATAGTATAATAATCATTAATCATAATGTTTCTGCTTTATATCTGGTGCAAATCAGGTGCAAAATATAGCTGAACTAAATCGGATTCATCTGTCTTTATGCATTTCTTGTTCTCATTTTGTAGCTGGTTAATTTAATAACTTGAGGTGTACAGTTATTTTCACAAATCAAATCAGCTGCGTATTTTTTTAATGCACTCAAATCATTTAGCAACATTTCCACAAAATGACAAATCTCAGTGTTTCTTTTTTACTTAAATAATTCAAGATGTTATCAGCAGATTCATTTATCACCGTCTAAACAGAATTATTGCAAAACCCTATGGACAATGATGAGGTCTTAATGACCCCATCATAATATACACCCTGAGATCCTGTCTCTGGTGCTCTAGTGTGAGTAAGTAGGGAAATCTTCTTATCTTTACACCTTTCAAAGATGACCTGTAGAAATTGACACGGGTACCAGGCATGATCCCCTTCATTCTTTAAACAGAACATGTGGAAGATGAAAATAAAATACTGAATGCCCCCAGGACCAGATTTCCCTATAAGGTCACCAAGGCCATGGCATAGGGGTGGCAGGCACAAGAGGGGTGGCATGGCTGGTGAGGAGATCAAAGATCTCCCTCACCGGCTAGCCCATGCTCATGCTGAGTTGTGGCTGTGTGTGCAGCATCCAGCCTGCTCGAGAAGGAGACTACAGACCTGCCTTTTCTCCTTCCGGGCTGCTGAGCCTTTGTACTGATCTGAGGAGAGTGGGTGGGCCTATGACATCACTGTCAATAAAAAAAAATCAATCCTTCTCACCTTCTCATTCCAGCTAGTGGCCAATGCCAGCCCCCTGCCTTGCCTTGCCCAACCCATGGGCCAGCCACCTGTGCCCACCAAAGTCTATGTGTGTGTGCGTCTGCATGGGTCAATGTGTGTCTGAATGTGTCAGTGTGTGCGTGTCTGCATGGATCAATATATGTCTGCATGGGCCAGTGTGTGGCTACATGGGACAGTGTGTGTGTGTCTGTATGGGTTAGTGTGAGTGTGTCTGCATGGGTTGGTGTGTGTCTGCATGGATCAATGTGTGATATAGATATAAATGCAACCAAGGCAATATAGAGGATACAGCTGTTAATCTACAAAAACATAAAGACATATAATAGTGCAACATTGTTTAAAAATGGTTAATGTGGTCTTATTGGGTTACACTCACAGATGTAAATTCTGCTTTATTTAATATAAAAAGAATAAAACAAGAAGATACAAAATATGTATATTTATATTATAGGTCCTTTTATTGGAGCGCAATAAGCGCACATTAACATGTGCATGCGTACATCTTCACAGCAAATAATAGCAGGAGAGGGCAAGAAAATTTATACCTGGGGCCAAATATAAACAAATGGCCTTTTGTGTATTAAACTGACAAGTATTAGTGTGGATGGTCCTTCTTACGTGGTGGATGCTGCTGGTTTTGCAAGGTGTCTATCCTTCATCTGTATGACAGAGCATTCAAAGAGGTCCATGCATGCCTAAGAGACACAGAATCTATTTCCTGCCAGCTTCAATGACACCTGCGTGTAATGAATGTCATGATTAATGTCTCATATCACAGTGGGGTCTATGGTAAACACTTACATCATACACACTGATTATGTCCTGTAGGCCTGGGCAGCCCAGAAACCCAAGTACAACAACACAATATCTCCATGAGCAGGTCCAAGTCGGGAGAGCATTTAGAGTACAGTGAACCAGGCCATTCACAAACCTACAAATTGCCAACTTTGCAAGCACCCTGCACAATTACGATCTGCCAAGGCACTCATGCAATACTGTGCACAAACATCCCAACACAACTCCCACTATTTGAATTTTCCCATTACCCCATTTTCCAGCCTTCCTATGAACAATGGTATGTTGCAAACTTCAACTTGGACATTTATCAATTAATTTTTGTTCTGCACATGTATACATACTGTGTGCATATCCATTCTAACAGAATGTAAGGTATAATGTTCAAGAAACACAATCCACTTGCTGCTTGAAATCGATTTTCTGTCTATGTTGATTGATTCAAAGCTTTCCTAAGAGGGACACTATAGTGTTAGGAATACAGTTTTATATTCCTAACGCTATAGGAATAAAAAATACATTACAAACTACGGGAGACAGTAAAACATTTGGTAGATGCTATAAACCAGTCACTAATAGTTAAGTTTGGTAACATGGAAACAGCCGGTAGTTGCTGATGTTAACAAATACCATTTTAGCAACTATTATTATTTTTTCAGTCGCGGATTGCGACAAGCATAAAGAAAGTGTATAAACCCCCGATAATGTAAATTGGCTTCTCATCTCGCAGCAGCACAATGAATAAAGAAAAAAAAAAGAGAAAATATGCTATAGTAAGTGTCTAGAATGCATGATTTGATCCAGGCTCCCAGTGAATGGGATTATAAAAGGAACTGAACCTTATGTCAGTGTGACTCTGGCACAAAATTTCCCTTATTAAAAAGGGTGAAGTTTAAGGTGGACAGTGAACAGTAAAGAACAGCTACTACCTCTCCAATATAAAGATGGATTTTGAAAAGATGAGAGCTGCACTGGAGGAGTTTTAAATAATGTTTTGCAATTATAATCATAATTGTGAGCTATATAGACATGGTTCATAGCAGCCAAAAAAAGTATGTTACAAAGGATTTCTCTCTTGCAGCCTTCTTGATTTTATTACATCTAAATCTCAATGCTGACAATCTTGGTCCAATCTAATGGTTATCATACAGAATCGCAACACTCAGCCAACCAGATGCTTCTCATAGAGAAACATTGAGGACTTATGGCGAATGCATGATATTCGCAGGCTCGGCCAATCACCTGGGGTTCCCTGGGTGCTGCACCACTAATATCAATGGGTGACTGGAAGCTACTAATATCTATAGGGAGAGGTATTAGCAGTAGTAAGAGGGAAGTGCTCATGCCATTGTACAGAACACTGGTGAGACCTCATTTGGAGTATTGTACGCAGTACTGGAGGCCGTATCTTCAGAAGGATATTGATACTTTCAGAGAAGGGCTACTAAACTGGTTCATGGATTGCAGGATAAAACTTACCAGGAAAGGTTAAAGGAACTGAACAAGTATAGCTTGGAGGAAAGACGAGACGGGGTATATGATAGAAACAGGAGGAGACTATATTTAAAAGAAGAAAAACTACCACAACAAGAGGACATAGTCTTAGATTAGATGGGCAAAGGTTTAAAAATAATATCAGGAAGTATTATCCTAACTATAAGATAAAGCCAGGTACTAATGAAAGTATTTAGAAAATTTGTCAGAGTAGATGGGCTGAATGGTTCTCATCTGCCATCACATTCTATATTTCTATGTTTCTCTCTGCTCTCTGTCTGAGAGTGATTAACTGATTCTCAGAAGAGCTAAAGGAAGATCCTGCTTAGGAGCTTCTGGTTCTCCGCCATCAATAGTGGAGATGGGGTGCGGGGCCCAGCCTGTCACCATTGTGAGCTGTAGTGGTTATGGTACTTGGAGTGTTCCTTTTAGTATTCTCTAATTTTTAGGTATTTGCAGGAGATTTTTATGATAAGTGTGATATAGATAGCATGTTACATATCAATAAAATAAGTAAACAGTTACACACAATAGCAGTTATAAATATTCTGATCTTTTTTTTTTCATATGTTTAAAAACTGGTGAAAACTATCTCTTTTCTATAAGAGAAGATTGCTTGACCCACTTGCTATGACTGTTACAGTTGTATTTTATAACAAGAGGCTTATATTTTATTAAGAGAAGCCTTGCTGTATTTTTCACATTAAGTGCTTATTACTGTTAGAATGTAACAGTTTTTACAATGGTCTTTTGTTATTCATACTTCATGGAAATATAATCACAGTGAGCTTTCTTCAAATGTAAACCTTATTTTTCTTTCTGTAGGGAAAAGAAAAACGTGGCTGGACACTGAATAGTGCAGGTTACCTCCTAGGACCACGTAAGTCACATCACCTGTGAGATTTTAAGAACCTTTAGAGTACAAACAGTCACATTTTGATCCCCAGCTATTGCAGAACTACAACTGCCGTGGTGCTTTGCCAGACTTGAGAATGACAAAGCATCATGTTGTATTTTCTGCAACATGTAGAGATTTGGCTTCGCCCCATTTGTCTTAGAGTAATTGGTAGATGGAATGGGGTTTATGTGCTTAAAATATTAGAATATAATTACTGTAAAGCTCTATAAACTTCGGCAATGATAAACAATACTGGATGACAGGTGATTCAACATTGCATTTCATACTCCATGATCCCCATCCCATTTCTTCATAAAATAGTTTACAAAAGCAGGTGGTTCTGCATTGTTTTTGCTTTTCTTCTTTGTCTATCGCCTTATGTGGGATTGCCACATTTAAGAATATCGAATTAAGTTGCTTTCTACTAAACACATTCACACACACAAACACACACACAATCATGTACATATAAGCACACACAAGATACACACACAAATAACCACAAACATACACACATACTCATAGACACACACATATAATCACATACACACGCATTTAATCACGTACATTCCCAAATAAATAATCAGGCATACACACACATAATCACAGACATACACAGACCCATTATCACAGATTAAGAAACAGAGCATAGACAAAAAAATACAGCTTTAAATTTTACAAGGCTACTTGAAATCATATATATTAGCAAATAAATATGGGGATTTAGTTCCACTATATGGTCACATTGTGTTACGCCCACCACTCTGTCACAGTACCTCAATATCGATGGGTCTAACACTGGGCCCCCTAGTTGGGACAGTCACGTCAGCAGGTTCCAGGTGGGACATCTGAGATCGCTGTCCAGAAGACTGCAGTTCTAGGACAAGCTAAACTACTTTGCAAAACCCCCAGACTCCCAGGCTTCTGGTAGAGGACCAGAGAATGAGGAACACCAGAGAAAGAGGAATACACAAAAATACCAAAGTAATTTATTTATTTACTTATACATAGACCATGCAGAGATTCATCCCTAAAAAAAAAACTTAAAGGGCATCTCATAGCTGGCATATCTAGTTAAAGGTAAATAGCTGACAAAGCGGTTTGAATTGATATATTTTTAGGACTTTGTAAATTAAAGGTGTACTCTAAGTGTCAAAACCACTATTGTACGCTGTAATGGTTGTGGTGCTAAGTGCCCTGATATCCTCCCATGATTATTAAACTACCTGCAAACAGTTTGACAAGTTTCCCAGGGTATGCTGAGAGCTGGTCACCTTCTCCAGGAGAGCTGGAAACTCTCTACTCTGAGCAAGAGCTTCCTTGAGCCTGTGACCAGAGGTAAATAATAATAATTATTTACCCAAGGTAAATAATATTCAACTAAAATTAATAATAAAATGAAATGTCAACTCTTTGCATCACTGTAGAAAAAAAAAAAAAAACTCTATCAAATAGAAAACTCAACCAAAGGTGTATAATACCTCTATCATGTCTGCTAAACATCTTTCGAAATAAATGTCCCAAACCTTATGATTCAACCAATCCTGTACATAAAATATTGTTTTACTACTAGGTTCACAGGGCCAGTGATGAGGCATGCATGCTCTTTTGTACCAGTAGTGACATTCTGTTGTAAGATTGTGAATATTTTTTGTGCAGGTATCTTATATGTTAATGTCCTTCATCAATCATCTTTTTTTCCCATCAAACATCTCTTTTTTCGGCACCACAGATGGCATTCCGAATCATGAATCAAAATGAAACTGTTCATCCATTGTGCATTTCGTCTGTCTTGTGATTCGGTCATGGCGATTTAAAGTTGCTGAGTTCAGATGATTCGCAGATTGCCCAAAATTCGAATGAATTACAATCTGTTTAAAACCGAATGCACAAGTCTTTTGTAAAAAATATATAATTTTAGAGTACAATAGCTATTCAAAAGTATTGTTGAGAACTTAAAACCGTAGCAGGCAAGCCAAATATTTTATGTTGGTAGGTCAAAGACAAAAAGACAATATAGGAACCTAGACAAGGTACTGTTTGTATTGTCTTTTAATCCAAATTATAAAAAAATTTGACGGGTAGTTCAACAATTTTTTTAAAAAAGGGATGGTAAAATGAAACCCGTTTCATATCACTATTTATGAATTGAACAAATAAGGTGACCTGATCAAAGCTGAATATTGTTACTATTACCGTGTATTTGAAATTGTCATTGGCATCTTCATTTGTAATAACTTACTTATCAATTTACTCAACAGATGCAATAGATAATCATAGATCTTTGAGTGATAAACATGGATCAGCTGGAAAACGGGATCTACTATCTGAAGATGACATTAAGACAGGTCATATATTTTATGGTATAATATTATCTTGTTCATTTTGTATATTATGTTAAATTTCTGCACATCTGATTCTTCTTATATCCAAAGGTTATTATATCCAACCATGGGGCACATTTAGATAGACAGCACTTCCAATCGTAGTGCATAAAGGAAAGTCGAAGTGTAAAATTGGAGCAGTGAAGATTCTGGTAATAGTGCTGGTGTATGAATTGCCTGCTGGTAGCTTCCCTTTCCTTTCTCTAATCTAATATATTATATTCAGTCTTTATTGGGTGCAGGATTTGTATGTAACTGGCTTACAATTCTTTATCTACTCCCTCAAAGTGGACAACATATCTCCTTTGTATTTCACCAATAGCATCCTTCACATAAAAGACATGTAGGGAGAGACAATTTTCTTATCAACAACAAAAGGTGTTCGTTATAGCCTGGCTTAGCATTAAGGGAAACTTTTATATGGAATACCTTGACAATTCATTGAATGACTTGAGATTGGATGTCAGTGCCACATATCAATCTGTTCTTTTTGTTGCTTTTGAATATATCTTTTGCTATCGGAGTTTGTACATATAGTCTTTGGAAGACTAGATTTGTTCTATCTAGAGTGATACCCAACAGCAAGCCTGTGGGAAGTTGTACCTCCTGTCCAAACATAAGATAGTATGGAGAGTATCTTCATCCCTGGTGTCAGATACAATTATAGACATGTAGGATTGCGTCTACGTGTTTTCTCTATGGTCTCTTTATAACATCCTTAAGATTTTCCAACATATCTAATAAGGTTCCACTAAACCATTTAGGCCAAATATCTCTTTTAGAATGGGACTTGTCTTCAATTTACCGTAATCTATATAATTCTGGGTAATGAGGATTTTTAAATTCCTCAGTTTAGTGTAAATGAAATGCTGTTGCTTCTTGAGGACCGCTGTAGTGTACAGCAATGGTGTTAAGACACAGATCTCAACTTACCTTTTGTCTTTGTCTGTGTATATTGTATGTTCACCCCTTAACTGTACAGTTCTGCGGAATATGTTGGCACTTTATAAATGGCAGTAATAAAAAATAAATAAATGTGAAGGAATTCACTGCTAAGACGTGCAAATAATGGAGAGGGTGATAGAGAGAGCAAGCATTTG